GAAGGCAGACGCTTAATGACTGAGCCACCCAGGCGCCCCTCTAATGTACTTTTTCAGTAGCTCTTTTGAATTTGTGAGTCTATTACAGTAATACAGTCTTATTTTTAACATAGCACATGCTTGAAGGTTCAGAAGATACCTGAATTTTGAAACATCAAGAGAGTATTCTGAAATGTTATAATCTAGTTTAATAACTTTCCCTTCATGTGCTGTTTTTCTAAATATATTTCTAGCTCTGGCTGAATTTACAGAAGCAGATGAAGCAATGGCAGAGCTTGCAATTGCTGACAATGTTTTCCTGTTCCTCACTGAATCCGTAGTGGTGTCAGAAAACTTCTATCAGGAGGAATTTTATATCCGTAGAGTCCATAATCTCATCACAGATTTCCTTGCACTTATGCCAATGAAGGTAGGTATAATAATGTAGGATAAGTAAAAAATAGTAGAAAATTTTTATGAAATAAACTGATCAATTCACTTTATGTTTTGGAAACTAATAAAATCTTTTATTGTAGACTATAATTTGACAATAGTTGTGTTACAGCTTTTGAATTAGTAATTCGTGAAAATGAAATAAGACCTGGTAATTGAGACTAAGCTAAAAGAACAAAATATTTGACATTGAGAATAGTTTATAAGGAGAGAGTAATAGTTAAATTACTATGCGTAGAAAATTGTTAATGTCATGATACCCCAGGGATCAATGCTTAGATTGTCTTATTGATATATTTATACATGATTTGGAAGAAGGCATAGTAGAAAATCTCCAGTTTTATAGATAATTGTGTAGACTCTTAATTATAGTATATAAATGGACTTCTGCATGCATACAGGTAATGTAATGGATTTAAGAAACAAATGCAAAGGCTACTTTCGAATAAAGAGTTCAAGCTGTAACTTTGATCCAAAAAGGGATTCTTAGAGCCATTTCAGAGAGTTTCTCCAGAGCATTTTTTTTTCGTGCAGTTTTGTTCCAAGGAAGCCATCAAAATGCGGGCAGGAAATAAATGAGGGCGTAAAGCTCTATGAACTCACTTTTTGTGTGTGTGTATTTAAAAAAAGCTCCCAAAGGACCTATACTTGTAATACTGTAGTATAGTTCTGCTACCATACCTCCTGAAACACATAAGGCAAATGGAAAGACTACCTCAAGTGGCAACAAACGATCAAGGAGTGAAGTGCTTATTCATTATTTAATGAATTAAGTGTTTGTTGAGTTTCTCCTGTGTGCCACGTACTATACTAGAAGTTGTGAAGAAGACAAGTAGTAGACTCATTCCTTACCAATAAAGAATTTATAATCTAGTTGGAGAGTAACAGTGAATGAGAGGTATAGACAGTAAATTTATGGATTTATTTAGGCTAAGAATAGCTCCCTCAGGACTAGAATAGTCAAGGAATACTTTAACAGATAACCTGAACCCTCAGTAACCTCGAAGGACTTGATAGATTAATATCACAGAATTTTGGAATAGGAAGAAGCATGCTAATCCTTTCATTTTACATTTGCAGAAATGAAGTCGTAGAAAGGTAAGTCTTAAGTGTTTCCTAATCAGTAGTCCAGATGGGACTTAAGTTATAGAAAGATAATCATAAATGGCTTGAATAATATAAAGAGTGAATTCACATAATTGGAGTACTTTGATAGATAATAGGAGTATTTAGGTTATCAGTCTCTTTTTGAACGAGCTTTGGTTTGTGTGTATCAGTGAATTTGTCCTTTTTATTCAGATTGATTGGCATAAAGTTATTCCTAATATTCCTTTATTATACTGTTTGTGTCTGTAGGATCTGTAATGATGTTTCTTTTTTCATTCTTAATTTTGGTAATTTGCATCTTCTGTGTGTGTGTGTGTGTGTGTGTGTGTGTATGGGTGTGTGTGTCTTCTTAATTAACCTGGCTAGAGGTTTATCAATTTTATTGAACTTCCTGAAGAACCAGCTTTTGGCCTCATTGATTTTCTTATATTTTGTTTCACTGTTACTGATTTCTGCTCTACATTATTTTCTTCCTTTTTGCTTTGGGCTTAATTCGCATTTCTCATTTCAATTTATTAAGGTAGAAGCTTAGATTATTGATTTGAAACCTTTCTTTTTTTTTTTTTTTTAAGATTTTATTTATTTATTTGATAGAGAGAGTGAGAGAGCACAAGCAGGGGGAACAGTAGAGGGAGAGGGAGAAGCAGGCTCCCCGCCAAACAGGGAGCTCAATACGGGGCTCGATCCCAGGACCCTGGGATCATGACCTGAGCCAAAGGCAGACGCTCAACCATCTGAGCCACCCAGGCGCCCCAAAACCTTTCTTTTTTTCTAATACTAATATTTGATGTTACACATTTATCTCTAATTATTGCTTTAGCTGTGTCACATAAATTTTGATACGTTGTGTTTTCCTTTTTGTTCAATTTAATGTTTTTTAATTGTCCTTGAGACTTCTTTGATCAGTGGTTTATTTAGAAGTGTTGTTTAATTTCCAAATATTTGGGGGCTTCCAGGCATCTCTCTATAACTGATTTTAGTTTATTTTTGTTGTGGTTAGAGAACATACTTTATAGGATTTCAATTTATGTTAAATTGGCTGAGGTTTGTTTTATGATTCAGAATATGGCCTATCTTGGAAAATGTTCTATGCACACATGAAAGGAATGTGTATTCTCCTGCTGTTCTATGGAGTATTCTGTAAATGCCCATTAGGGAAAGTTGGTTGATAGTGTTAAGTCTTCCATGTCCTTACAGATTTTGTATACTTGAGAGAGGAGTATTGAATTGTGGGTTTGTCCTGCTTTTTTTGTTTTGTTTTTAAAAGAGAGTAGTTTCTTCTATCAGTTGGCACGAATGTTATAAGGTGATGGTTCTCAGCCAGTGCAATAACGTCCTTCAGAGAGTGTTTGGGAAATTAGTGGCACCACTTTTCCTTGTTAAAATATCTTTGGTGGAGGAAGAATGAAGCGGGGGAAATAGGATAGGGAGACGAACCATGAGAGACGATGGACTCTGAAAAACAAACTAAGGGTTTTAGAGGGGAGGGGGTGGGAGGATGGGTTAGCCTGGTGATGGGTATTGAGGAGAGCACGTTCTGCATGGAGCACTGGGTGTTATGCACAAACGATGAATCATGGAACACTACATCAAAAACTAATGATGTAATGTATGGTGATTAACATAACAATAAAAAAATAAAAAAAAAATCTTGGTGGAGTTATTGGTAGAAGTAGGTAGTCCAGAGATGCTAAACTGTCCTGCAGTGTTCAGGATGATCCAACCCAGTGAAGAAATGTCCTGTTCAAAATGTCAGTAATGTTCCTTCTGAGAAATACTGTAGTTAAAACTCAACTTCTCTGTACTGGAAAATGCACTGACATTTTAAGATATTTTTAAATTATGGATAGTGGTATCACAAAATTCCTAGTATATTTCTTCATGTCATTAAAGTGGAGTAGATGTTTAAACAGTTTTTCTATTATGTAATCACTTTTAGACAGTTGCCTGATTTCAGTATTATTAACCTATATACTAAATTTCCATATTAAACTGTATGTAATGTATTTAATAGGTGAAACAGTTGAGGAATCGGGCAGATGAAGATGCTCGAATAATTCATATGAGTATGCAGATGGGTAATGAACCTCCCATTTCACTTAGAAGAGATCTGGAACACTTAATGCTCTTGGTAAGCCATTACACTGGATGGATGGTCATCTCTCCCTCCTTCCATTATTTATTCCCTAACTGTAGAAAATTTCACTTTTAATGTTTCAAATATACAAGTGAATTCCGTAAAAATGTAAATTTTCACTTAAAAGTAATTGTTGAGTTATAGGCATTTTCACCCAGTCTTTGCTTACACTTTGCAGATTGGTGAGCTATATAAAAAGAACCCTTTTAATTTGGAGCTTGCTCTCGAATATTGGTGTCCCTCAGAGCCTCTTCAGACTTCCACTATCATGGGTTCTTACCTTGGGGTGGCTCATCAGCGACCCCCTCAACGCCAGGTGAGCTCTTAGTTTTTCTACTTTTCTACCTTGGTATGATAATTGGGAGTCTTGAACCATGAACAAATGTTATTTCCTGATGTCATTGCCATTAACACAAATGATCTCTTGTGTAACTTAGAAATTTACACTGTTTTCTTTTCTTAAGGAAATTTGAAACTCTTAAATTTAAGGGTTTTTTTTGCAAGGAATACTTTTTTTTTTTTTTAAGATTTTATTTATTTATTTGACAGAGAGAGACACAGCGAGAGAGGGAACACAAGCAGGGGGAGTGGGAGAGGGAG